CGGATGGGCGGGTGCTAACGACTTCAGATGCAGCCGGGATCAACGGCTTAACGTGCCTTCCGAAGCACGGAGGAAGCTTGAGATAGAAGTTTCTTGGTTGGTTATATATAGGTACTTACAGATAATAAAAGATGAAAGTGGAGTCAACATATTAATCTACCACGCATCTACATATTAGTTAATATAATAAAGAGGGTAAAGTTTGTTTGTTTGAATTGGAAGTAGACCTACTTAAGCTTTTGAAGTACTGATATTTTTTTATACAATGTGTCCGTAAAAGTATTATTTTTTTACTGTGCGATATATAGTCACCTTTTTACCCGACTGCGCAATGCAAGAGCGCGAAGCGCGACGCGCAGACAGGGTATCGTGTTTAACAGTCTATATATGTATGTTTGTTCCTTTGTGGCACACTAGAGATCAAACGCCTGGACCGATTTCGATGATTGATACATCAATCGATTCGTCTCAATCATGGGAGTGCTACTAAAGATATGACAGTAATCAAAATTCAATATGGGGACAATTAGGCGCCATATTGTGACGAAGTAAAAAAAATAAGTTGGCAAAATATGTCGAGTGGGGTATCACTGTCTAGATAAACGAAAATCATGTTTAGGTTTCTTACACCATTTTTCATTTTATATGGTTGTTTAGGATCTACAACGCTTTAAAGTTGTATATTAACCACTTGCGCTTTTAATTTCAATCTTACGTTTGTATGGATCTTTCACCTAAAAAATATTGAATGGATTTTAATGAAACTTAACAGTATTATAGCTATATATGTATAAAAATTTATGTAGTTATTGAGTGAATTGGCCAAAATAAAACAATAAGTGTCACATAAGACGGAACAAAATCTCCCATCTGCGAGCCATTTTGGCCTGCACTGCAAAAAAAAAATAAAATTTACATGAATGTAATGAAGACTGAAAATGTATCTTTTAAATAGTTCTTAAAAAAAGTCCGTGACACCATATATCTATTTTTAATGTGTAAGCCATTACCGCTTAAATAGTGAATCAAAACTAAAATATTATTTGATATCTATTTCCAAAATGCACATTTTGTATTAACAAATAATTTTTATTTTTATCAACACAATTACTTTTATCGCTTTTGATATTTAAAGACAATAAACTTTGCCTTTTACACTATGTCATTTCGAAAATTATTTCAAGAGTTACAATAGCGCGGTGTACTATGTAGGAGTAGACTGCGGAAATACTAAGAGAAGAAATTTAATTTAGGTGTTTATAAAGGTGGATAAAACCAAGGCGAAAAAGAAAAAAATGGGCTACACGCAGTATTTGATCCTATACGAAGTACTTACAATAAAACTGTGATACAGTTCTTACTTATTAAATGATGAAAAATAAATTATCATAATAGGTATTTATGATTATTGAATTTTAATGAAAAACTCAGAATTATACTGTTTTTTTAACGATATTACTTGATGTTACAAAAAAGGTTTAATTAATATAATGACAAAAAAACCATTTTCCGCTAGTAGATACATACATATCGAAATCCCTGTATTTATTAATCAGGTCGCGATAATATTGGTTTTGTAATTATAAACGATAATTCTGCAAAATTCAAAGTAAATAATATAGATTTTTATAGGTAAATCACCCCTTTCATCACCCTACGCCTATAAGTATTGCGATGTTGTAGCTAAGAACCAAGTTCCCATCTACTTCTATAGGGGAATTCATTATAATCGATTTAGCTATTAGGGCAACTAGTTTAGAGAAATTTATTTTATCGGGATAAAATATAGCCTAAGTCACTCGGACCAAATGTATTTAAACAAAGAAAAATGTAATAATAAATAGATTAGCTACCTTATGATGAATTAATATTTGAAACAAGTTCAGTAGTTTGACAGATTATTTGCTGCAAACATACAAATCTGGCCTCTTTATAATATTAGTATAGATAGTTAGGATAATAGTATTTAATTGATGAAAAAGATTTAAAAATAAAGTAAGTAATAGGTTTATTTGATTATATTTGTAAAAGTTACTTAGCATTTGTGCATAACAGTGTATTCGGTATTTTTTTATACAAAAAAAATATTTATAAAATAATTGCCATGATTGCACTATTTGCAATACCTACTAGGCTGGTAGCAGCACGCTTGATAGGTGGAAGTACTCTCCATTCGAGCTTTACACCAACAAGGGCGGATCCAGCTTTGGCGCTAGGGGGGGGGGGGGTCATATAGCCAGCTTTGGCGCCAGGGGGGGGTCATATACATACATAAAATCCCCCTGGGTTTGGTCCACCTGTACCCAGCCCAGGGGGGGGTCATGACCCCCATGACCCTCCCCCTGGATCCGCCCTTGTACACCAATAGAAAAGGGTCGATCACAAAGTCTTTGACCGCTTTAAAAGCTTTATTGTAAATGTGAACGCTTTAAAAGAAAACTACATAGAGAACTATAAACTGATAATAAATGAGATTGCTATGGTGCTCTACCTAACGTTATGAAAATTTTATTATGCGCCTTTAGTTTAATCAAATATTATAAACTTTGCTTTGGTGAGTGCATAATTATTTAATTTAGCGATCTAAGGCAGTTGCCACCATTGTCATTAACGTCATTGATTGGTATTGTATATAGGGTGATTAACAACAGTTGAAGTTAACTTCTGGCATCTACATATTGGGTTTCTGTGAATTATGTAGGTATATCAAATTATGAGACTAGGATGTGACACTGCATTTCTGTATATCACAATCTTAGAGCCGGACTTTGACATGACAATGCAGCCACTGCCAATTTTAAATGGTCAACGAATAAAAGTAAATGAATTGTATATTTACTGCTAAACTACTAAAAAGAACAAACAAAAGATGAGTTTTTGAGTGCTAGTTTTCTATAAAATTGACATATATTAAATATTTATGTAACGACTTGATTTAACTTCACACATTTTTGTGAAAATTGAGGCCCATCTGTAGCCTTGACCTCGCTGGTAAAGTCTCTCTATGTCTTAATACATCAATCTTTTAGACCACCGCAAGGTACTTAATAATAGGGATGATGACTATTTTTCTTCGTTTATCAGGTAGATTATCAAAAAGTATTGGACACGTATTTTTTCTTTTTTCACATAATATAAACATTACAGAGATATATTGATTTGAAAAGTCGCATGACGTCACGTTTGAGTACAATTATAAGTGAAAATTCACTCAAAAGTGACGTCACGAGCCCCTACTCATAAACTTTGACGCGCTATAACTTTGTCATTTTTTGGTTGATTGCCCAAAGAAAAAATACGTGTCCATTAGTTTTTTGATCATCTAACTGACGGACTAAATAGAAATTCGTTTACTGTACCCCGTGATCACCCCTATTCCCGCGATATTAATTCCCTTACTGAAGTAACAAGACTACGGTATATACCGCCTTTACTTTTTAGTTAGTTAGTATTTTACTAACTAACTAAAAAGTGAGAAATAAAAAAGGTAAATTTAAAAAATCAAAAAGCCGGCTGCTTAATTATATTTCAAATAAAAACTGAAAAGAAGAAAAACAAGTCCAGTAGTCTATAATTCTGTTAATAAGGAACAAAGCTACTTTAACAGTCGGGACCCATTATTGAAAAATGTTATGTATTCTTGAATATCTAATGGGTCCCGACTGTTAAAGTAGCTTTGTTCCTTATTAACAGAATTATAGACTACTGGACTTGTTTTTTTCTTTTCAGTTTTTATTTGAAGTATAATTAAGCAGTCGGGTTTTTTTACCTTTTTCCTGTTTTTCTTTGTCCGGTTAATTTGTTTTTTAGTACCTCTCCTATGTCACCATTTTGTTATTCATTGTGGAAAACATTTATTTGGTGACTTATGTCTTTGTCATTTTTTGTTATTCATAAATGAAATGCCTTGCCAGCTTCCGTGTTCTTTACATTCTACAAACCAGGGTCTTTTAAAAGAGGAAGAATGAAGAAAGAACCTTGCAGGCCTGCAAGCTGAAGGTACCTAGGTAAAAATACTGTACCCATAGAGCAATACGGAAGGGAGAAGCCCATAGCGACTTAATGCTATATATGACTTTTACCATTTTTGAGGGTGGGGGTGGGGGGGACGGACACAAAAATGTAGTTTAACGTACATCCGTAATAAACAAAACTGTAATTACTACACTCACATATAAACAATCACACAATATACCGCCAAATCACAGTACATATATATAATATATATTTAATCCAAGTGTTGCTCTATGATTATACCTATGGTATAGCTTTTTCGTATTTCGGTAACTGAATTCCACCTGCACTTCACATAAAATAAGGTACCTATGGTTAGTATTTAATAAAAAAATCGCTGCTGGTTTTTTGATCATTTTTCGTGCACCTACAATAACTTTAAAAATAAATTATTCCGTTACGTTAATTTAACCGCAGGCGTCCATTGTTAATGACTGGAAACCTTCTGAGTACTATAATGAAACAGATGTAAATCAACACGAATGATAATTATGCATTTCATTAATCATTGTAATTTTATCGCAACATGAGTCATTAATTTATGGATTACTTTTAGCGTCTACATGCAATTGCGTAAACAGTTTTTTCCTTAAGTTAGGAACCTTCATTATTCCGATGAAAAAAGAATACTAAGTTTTTAAAGCAGGTATAAATACGGACATGCATATATATATATGTGATGGAGTTAGGGTTGCCAGATGGGTGGGATTTCCGGGATTGTCCCGAAGTTTTGCATGTTGTCCAGTGTCCAGTAATTAGAGCTTATTGTCCCGGATTCCGATAATGTGCTAGTTTCGAAACAAAATAAACTAATAATAAATGAAACCTGCCTGTTGTTTTAATTCTGTGGGGTGATGGGGGGATTTGATTTGATGCTTTATTTTTTCAGGGGGGGGGGGGGTGCAAATGTCCCAGAATTGATAAGTCAGCATCTGACAACCCTAGATGGCTTAAAAACCTTTATAATATTAAAGTAGGATAAATAAATGATAACAGTTTTGAGTAAGTATGGCTGGGGCGGCACATTTGGAGCATTAGCTATTTTCGTGATTGCATTCCAACATTTGCATGTTGAACGCAATGCAATGCATCTGGTGGGATGGGGTAACTTGCTGCGCCTCTGTTGTGGCTATGCCGTATGCTTGTTTGTTTCCTCAATATTTGACCTTCTTGATCACTATTAATATCAATTTTAAAATGATCGTTTATGGTTTTTATTTATTTAATTTGTGATAAGTGTCCTGTTCATCCAAAGTAAACTTGATGGTAACCGGTAAACAATATTATTGTAATTGGCCATTTTGATGCATCGACTGGTTTGACTGCATCTAGCAGCAAGGTCAATATCGTAGGTAATCTTTAAAAATAAAATTGTATGTCAAGTGCTTTCCTTAAACATATATGTCAAGTTCACTGTGATAGTACCCTTCTTTAAAGGCATATTAATTGTTTGTTTTGGCTGTACTACGAGTGCCGCGGGGAAAATATTTTGGTGCTTGTTTCATCTTAATTTATTAAGAACATCCCTAATGTAAATTTTGGAGGTTCTTTCAGTAATTATCTGCATATGTCAAAATACTTCCTATAATTAATTAAGCTGTTTCAATATTTAAGAAGGATCTCAAAAATATTGAATATGAAAAACACATTAGGATTATTCTTGTTTGTTGTCATAAGTTAAAGGGCTTGACGAAAATGCCGTTGATTTAGTAGAGGATATGCCCCTCTACTAAATCAACGGCATTTTCGTTATCTTTATCCATCAGATTGGAGCGTCTGTATGGGAAAGTCTACTTTACAAAGGCCGCAGTGAAATAATTAACTTTTGGTGGTGTTGTTACATTTGGTGAGTAAGATTACAATGCTGAATTGAATGGCGTGAATACGCCAATGTAGACCGACGAGGTGAAGATGACTGGATTTTTTTAACTCTTTATACTAAAATCTATATATCAATGGGCCTACGTTGTATGACTATAAGTAAATAAATCAACAGGTGGACTGAAAAAATGACAATGAAAACATCAAGCAAGATCTGGATGAACATCAAGCACTTACTGGATAGGAAAAGCGAAGGACCGTTGTGTATGGAAATCCCTTGAGGAGGCCAATGTCCAGCAGTGAACGTCCAACGGATGACGTAGATGATGATATTACTGCATCATAAGTGAAGTGGCGGTTACATATCCAGATAGTTGCTTGATTACATTTTTAGTGGGAAATCCCTTGTGCTCTACCAAGCCTAACAGCTCTTAGTCTCTTTATGATTGAATGTTAATTATATTGTCCACACTAATTACTATCACATAACGGTCCTAGGAAAAGAGCCTCTATTAACCAAATAATTTTTAATAGTCATATAGGCAGAGTGACGCCTCGATGACGAAATTGCATTCCGTGAAGACAAAATAGTAGCAGAAACTCGTTTTTGGCCTAAAATACCCATTATGTATAAAAGTCAATCAAGAGTGGATATTACATCACAGTGTTAAATTCGGTGTCGGACAGTGTGGTGTGACATTATACAAAAACAAGGTATGTAAAAGTTTTATCAGTGCAAAATTTATAAGGAATCAGGATTAGATACGAACAACTTTCAATTATTGTTATTACAGTTTTATGTAAAAGAATTAAGCTTTTACTAAATCATGTCATTCACATAATCTTTGGAGGACAAAGGCAATTGATATTAAAAAAAAACTGACTAACCGCTTTGTGTTAACGGCCGCGTGATTGGTTGGTTCAAATAATTTACGATCTTGGGATTTTGTGGGTTTTAGATTTGTTCCCATGTGGTCCTAGTACCCATTGGACCTCCATAATTGGACCTTACCTACAAAAAAGTACCCATTTGACCTCCTATCACGAACATGGTGCCCATTGGACCCTCATAATTGGTACTTACTTACATAACAGTACCCATTCGACCTCCTATCAATAATATTGTGCCCACTGGACCCTCAAGGATGGACTTACCTACCCACGCACAATAGGACCTTGGAGCTCTTAACTATTTGGCTAATTCTTTTGGGACAGTAAAATACAGTCGTGTAGTTAAGTAACATTGTAAAAGAAATAAAAGCACTTAACGTATTTAATCAAGATATTTATAAAATTCGAAACATTAATCGTCAGCAAAAAACCAATATATATACAGTGGTGGTCATATAATTAAGAACGCTTCTAGCAAAAACAACATTTTAAAATTCCAATATTCAAAATAAAAGTAGTATTACTTCAATATTGGCTATACTGTCATTTAATACCTTCAGAAGACTAACATAATCGAAAAATAAATTAGGAAATATATTGTATTACTATTGTGTAATTTACTGTTATTTAAATATTGTTTTCATTGCAAAAATTGGGAAGGTTATAGGTTAAGGTCAATAATAATATTAACATTAATTTAATAATTATTAGTATTATGCTGTAGTATTGTAATTAATTGAAAAAAAGTTATTTTTTGAAAATATGTTACGTTATTTAATATCTAGAGTGGTATGTCCTTGGCTGTGGATAACTAGCTACTAGGTAGCATGACAGCGGCGCGGCATCGACGCTATCAACTTTTGGCAGGTTTCAACTGAAATAGAATTCCACTCTTCCAACAACGAGTCATACAGCTCAATAATGTCACCACAGCGTCGGTTGTATAGTTTTTTTCACTTTTCAAATATGTTCGATCGGATTAAAATCTGAGCTGTTCGGTGGCCATTCTAATGCAGTTACTAGTTGACTGTCGCGGTATCTTTTTACAGAGAGTGCAGTATGCTTAGAGTCATTATCGTGCTGGCATCTCCAAATTACCGGGAGATTGTCATCTGCATTTGGCAACATACATTCTTCGAGTATCTCTTTGTATTGATACTGGTCCACGTAACCGTGTATAAGCCTTGAAGTTTCCATGTCATTATCAGAAAACCAACCCCAAATCTTAACGTTTCCACCGCCACGCTTTACTTTAGGGTATTATTGCCGTATTTAGGATCGAATGCATTATTCACAGAGTGGAGAGACTGCTTGCCGTAAGAGCATACTCTATAAATTTTGGTTTCGTCGGAAAAAAGTACATTTTTCCACTGATGCTCTGTCCAATACTGATACTTCCTTGCAAACACAAGTCGAGCCTCTCTCATGGTGTCAACATGGGTATCTTCCTTGTTACTCGCCCAACCAACTATGCCTCTACTGGCCGTTTTCGAACGCTACGCGCAGAGATTGCGCTAGGATTATTCTCACCAAAAACTTCATTTTTTTAGCTTAGCAAGGCGAACTATTCTTAAATCTTCTCGTGAAGACGTTTTTCTTGCTTTGGGTTTTCGGGGGACATTCGAGGTTGTCTAATCTGTATTATTTTTTTCTTCACAGCTTGGTACACCATCGTTTTTAAGCAATGCAATCAGCAATTTTTTTATACGACCAATTACGAGCACGCAGCTTTATTATTATTTCTGTAGCAGTAGAGTCGTAAGATTTGTTTATTCACATTTTAATAAAAAAAATTGCAGTAAACGTATATTCTAACAATAATAGTGCGACAATGCAATAAAAATAGTAATGACAAACATCGCATTCCATTTTCAAAATGATGAAAAAAATAACAAAATATTTTGTTCTTAATTATTTGTCCAGCCAGTATTCCAACCACTTTCAGTTCCTATGATTTAATAAGAGATTATTTCGACGAAACTCTTACATGAATAATGCAGATCGGTCATAGGAATATTCTTCACTAACAGAGTATGTTTAGAAACGAACCATGCACTGAAATTATAGTCAAAACATATTTGTATTTGTACGGCTTCGTATCATTTGAAAGTTTTAAGGTTTATACTTTAACTTAATATATACTTTAAATTTTTTGAGGACAACTTACTGTTTGCCTAACTACTATACTACTAGTACTATAAATTTAATTTTTGTCTGCAATTTTCTACATGACTCTAATGTTCTTGATGAGCACTTTCTATATAATCTTTTAGGAAAGTCCAATGGGAAATTAATTTTTTTTTAAGAAGTTTTAATGGGCCATATTAATGAGGTCCAGTGGGCACTTTTTGCATTCGGGTCGAATCTTGGGGGTCCAATGGGTACTAGACCTCCCATGTAGTCTAGATTTATGTTCTTTTTATGTGAATTAGGTGGTTAGGTATCATGTTGTATTTATTTCCATTTAATATAATTAGATGCCGAGTGAACAATTAGCGTGATTTTTCTTGTATTGGACGTAATATTTAGGCACAGTTATTTTATATGTAAACTAGCAAACCCGGCGAACTCCGTTTCGCCACCAGATGGCTTCGTTTTATGTAACATTTCGTTTGGTGATTAAAAGAAGTTTTTTTTTTAATTTTTCCTGAATTTTCTTTGCTATAAGCCTCACGAAGCCCGAGACCTTTCCAACGAAAGCAAAACCGTGGAAATCGGTTCGTGCGTTCTGGAGTTATAGCGTCAGGAAGGAAAACCCGACTTATTTTTATATAGTAGATAGGGGTGAAAACAAGCATTTAAACAGTCAAGTAGTAAACGGTCGTCATAACCTCTAGATAGATGCTTGCGATATCTTATATACCGCTCTGACCCTATCACCAACTCCGTGGAACTGAAAATCTTAATTCCTGCAGAGACCTAGGCGTTACAATTCTAACGAAAAAAATATTTTCCTTTTCAATTAAATAAGTGTTTACTAAAACACCAATTTTGCACTGACAATATGAAAGGCATTATGATGATATCAATGAAGCAACAATAAAATTCACCACATTTTTTTTTTAAATTAATTGTTACCGAACACATACATATTTAAAAGCTGTGTCAGCCGTGATAACTTATACAGAGTGGAACTTGTAACGATGAAGTTGTAATATATTAGTGCTTCCTCTGAAAAGATTAACCTGATCTAAGCTGATAGTTTTCTACTTTGTTTTACTTTATACTGGCCATTTGTTTTCCGCGCATTACTTTTTCTCAGTGTATTTAACATCAATGGTGGTGTGGAGTGACTTCCGAATAAATACGTCCTACAATCTTCTACAAAACAATATTAAGGGCCAGTTATACCAGTTCCTGATAAAATTATAGATAAGCAATAACCCGCCATAATGTAACATAAGCAATAATCTAAACATATACCTATTTAAAGTTAATTATTAGAATTTTATTTTATTCAATATATCTGTAAAATAATCTCAGTTTGTCTGGGAGATAAGCACAATTTAAATTCCAAATAAGCTCTTCAATTTTCCAAATTATTCCAAATACAAATCATAGATTTTTTCAACAAGTGGTGAACAACTTTTTTTTAAGGGTTTCACGCAACAATAATCGAATTAAACATCTTTTGAATGATACCCACCCAGAAAGTGCAATTTATTAACTTTTTAATCTCCTTACGATTTGGATCCTCGACGGAGCCTGTAGACATTAGTTGACTTTCATTTGTTTTCCTTTTGCAATTCCAGAATGAAATCCGCCATCGTGTTGTGCCTCGTCGCGCTCGCGGGGATCGCTCTAGCGCGCCCCGAGGACAAGTACACCAGCCGTTACGACAGCATCAACATACCGGAGATCCTGCAGAACCGCCGCCTGCTGGTGCCTTATGTGAACTGCGCGCTGGAGAAGGGCAAGTGCACACCAGAGGGGCGGGAACTGAAATGTGAGTAGATAAATTTCTTTCTTTGGTTTTCACGTACATCACTCATTAAAAAAAACACGTTTGAACGGGTAAGATGTACTTATTTTAGTTGTTTATTGACGTTTCTTTTTGTTTGCATGATTTAATATAACAAGGAGATAGAAAGGCTCTCTGAGTTTGTTTCGCCGGTTCTTCTCAGAAAGGTCTCACAATTTTGGAACCGGTGGTAGTTTACGGTTGATCCTAACGATGAAATAAATAAACTCAAAAAAGAATTTTAAACAAAGTACTTTATTAATTAAATTAGATCACTAATTCGTGCATAGACAATCAAAATTTAAAATCTTCCAATGAAATATCCGAACGCTCAGTATAAAGTCTTTCGAAGGTAGCTTGACAAAGTAAATAAAATCATTAGTCTGACGACGCTGACCTGAAAAGGCTGCGAAACGTCAATAAACAAATAAAATAAGTACATCTTACCCGTAGAAACGTGTTTTATTTATGTGAGTAGATATTTTAGTGCTTTAGTTTATTGAGGATCCCGTAGGAGGGACTTTACAAATCTTTACATTTGCACTATAATCGAGGTGTAAACTACTAGCACCGAGATAATACTGAAGAAAAGTAAATTATTGCTTCATTAAAATAAAATACATATTTCGGGAATAAAATTGCCTACGCTCAATCCAGTAAACTATAATTACATTGTGCCAAATTTCAACAAAATCCATTCAGCTGTTTTTGCGTGATTAAGTATTAAACATTGGTAGGACTTGTAGGATTATTAAGAAGGATAATCATCATTTCTTATAATCATTATACTTTTTGATGTGTTACATCTTTCCTCTCGCTTTCGTGAAATTTGTGGGAGTGATTACGTTAAGTGGGACGGAAGTGTGTAACAGGAAGTTTGGGAAGCGCGTGCAATTTGATTTGATTTTAGAACACAATGTTCAAATGGCTTATTCCTTTTGTAGTAGGTAATATTTTTGTTTTACTAATATAAGGTGAGGTTTCAAATGTTACACATCATATGCGACTACTGTAATGCTCGCTCGTTTTTTTAGTGTTTCCCGTTCTTTTCTAAGCAGTCGTCATACATCTTTTATATTTCAAGAAATAGAATAGGCTTACAACGCATCCATAACAGACTTAATACACCTTTCCAATCATGGAGACAATTGTGATAATATTTTTTGAATTACCAATCATCCTTTCAGGAAGGTATTAACATACCAATCTTATGCTTCTAAGTACTATTGAGCCTTTGAGCAAATTTTCTCTATTGGGCCAATTTTTAAACACACCAATTAGCCTATTCCCAAAGTAAGTAAGGCTTGTGTTATGAGATACTAGGGTCAGGGACAGAATACATAGGAACACACATACATATATAAATATACCTAATTATTTAGCTTGATTTATGGATTTTTGGATGTTAATTTAAACCTAATATATAAATATCCATGAGATAAGTACAAATGCAATATATATTCATCAAACTAATATTTGCCCCACGGGACCTCTGAGAAGGCGACATGCGACACCTTGAAATCCGCTACCACTACCAGACGTACATACCACTCGGCTACGGAGAACATTGTAGACAACTTAGGTATTAAAACCCTTATCGATATTTTAAATTTATAGCTTAAAATCTATTAAATTATTGTAATTTTATATAAAAGAAAAACTACAGAATAAAATAAAAACAATAAAATCGTAGAAGAATAGTGTCGAAGAAATCATAATTTAATGAAAACAAAATAATGGCTTTGATATTTGTATGTGTATTTCACTAGAAAGTTCTAATGGCTACGTACATAATCATCGCATCATAAATAAATTACATATAATTTGTGATAATTGCGCTACATTGTTGTCGTACCTACTTAACTCACAAATAAATTGTAATTAAGTAGTTACAGTTATCGATTAAATAAGTACTGTAGAATTACTAGAACACGTGAAATAATAATAGTCTCACCACATCAAAAATGGGGTTTTGAAAGTAATTGTATAATGTTTATTTTATTTTATTTCTTCGGTATCATTTTTAAACAAGAAAATACCCATCAACTATTGCCATGACGGATGATATAACTTAAAAATACTATACAGAGCTTTTAGATAAATGTGAAACAGAGTTAATAAATAAAATGTCGACAATACATCAAGAATAATTATTATCTGTTAGACACACCATGGATACACCTCAACGAGGTCGTATATGTAAATTGTAAGGCATTGCTCTGAAATTTAAAAAGATACCCGGAAACAATAGAGACAGGTTGTCAGCCCATTACAAAAAAAAACAAAAGAAGTAAGATCATTCAAAAAACAATGAATTAGTCAGCATACAGCAGCAGCAGTACATCATATATACTTTGCTTTTCCAATAATAGACACATTAATTATATTCAAGTTAGTTTATTGTCGTGCGTACGACAGGACTCAACAATCACACAGTACCCTTAGCACGAACCAATATCGAATTCGTAACCTTTGCGAGTCCGAAATGTCTTTGTCAAATGTGTACTGATTTTTAGTTCTCATTACGTACTTTGTGGCGCTGCTGTTTGAGTTTCCATACAAAATTTGACATTGTCATTACGCACTCGCAACCTATTCGAATTCGATAACTATTCGTGCTAAGGGTACAGTTTTCATGAAGTAAGAAGAGATAAAATCTTAAGAATAATTGTTTAGTGGTAGTAAAAAAATAATATACTTGATTTTGCTTCAACATTCCTGGTTTTAAAACTCGATATCTGTTTGTACAAGTGGCATAAAATTTTACGGTCAATCAAAACAATAATTATACAAAATTAAAAAAAATGCAGCTTAATATTGTCATTATTATTTTTGGTTCATATCTAACTGAACGTCAAAAAGATCCTGTGGTACGTTTTCTTAACCGTTCTTCTTAGCATAACAATACATTTAGGTTTAAACTTTTAGAGTTGCAACTATTTCTTTTTTCTGTGCATTTAGTACTCTTTTGGAATTATTTAAATATTTTATTTTTTATTATTTTTGTTCAGCCCACATAAAAGAAGCTTTGGAGACCCGCTGCTCCAAGTGTACCGACGCTCAGATACGCGGCACTCGTTTGGTGTTAGGCCACCTCATCAACCACGAGCCGGGGTACTGGAATCAGCTGACCAATAAATACGACTCCACAGGCAAATACACCAAGAAGTACGAACAGGAACTCAGAACTCAAATTTAAAAAGGAAAATTAAAAAAGGAAAAGTCCTTAAACCAGCTAACGTTATATTCGAGTCTTCAGTAAGATGCTGGGCGTTTACTAACGATCGAATGTTGTATCTAAAATCTGTTAATTTAATTTATTGCTGTAATTAAACGCACCGCAGTATCAATATCGTGGTATACCTAAGAAATCAGTCAAAATCATAAGTTTTTCACTTTTTGATTTTCAATGTATAGACATAAAGAGATTTCCAATAAACTGATTTCTAGGATACATATAGGTAAATTTAGGTACCCATATCGTGGCTATCATGTGATTTGACGCAGTATTAACCACCTGCAAGAAAACTCTGTAGGCAATTATGTGGTTTACTTTAATGTATTTTCGGTTCAAATTAATAAATTTTGTTGAAAATTATGTTCAACAGTTTAAAAGATATCTTTAGTATTCCTTAGGCTTTGTATGGACATCTTTTGTCACACTGTACCTATAAAAATATAAGACGATTCACAACTGCGATCTGAAATAACCACAAAGAATACAATTATATAGTAAGCTTTATTATTAATAACGATTCAGAAGTTGGTCAACATACTGTACAAAACATTTTAAATGACCAAAGGCTTATGAGTTGTTTATTAAATTATTGTTACCCTATTTTTTACGTGTTTTATTTCTACAAGAACCTTAAGGCATCACGTTTCAGATTTATATGCGGTCGATATTAAAGTAGGGTTAAAGAAATCGGTTCCTTTCTTGCCCATCATTATCAGTCACCATATTTGCTTAAAAGTTGACTTCAATGACTGTTAAATATATGTATAAGTCGACATGATATTGAAAATCAGTTTAAAAAAACCTATCCTGTCTCTATACCAAAACAGTCACTGTTATTTTTTATATACTTTGTTCATCCATGGGCAATCTGATTATTTGCTTAATCTTCCCGTTATCATTTCAATTTCGACTCTGAGTTCTAGTACGATTTTAATTTCGACTCTTTAAAGTTGTCATTTCAATTTTTTAATAGAATACTAATTAAATGAAAGTTTTAATAAGTATATTTTATATAGTAATTTTTTCACTTTATCCTCACCTAAATCATACTTAAACATGTGGCCATGGCCAGATTTGAATGACAATTACCGTCGGCGTCTTACCGTTTCAGTACTTAAGATACATACCTTACATAGACAGACGGACACTGACGGACAGAAGGATATTGAAGAGTTAGTAATAGAACCATCCCAAAGGATAATAATTATATAATATTTATTCACTTTCCCCTAAGGATGGCACACAAAGACGCGGAACTTTAATTACAGATTGAGTAAAATAAAATGTTAATGGCGAGTGAAAATACAACATTTCTGTGATCTACAACATGCAGGTACATTTTTTAAAATCGTCTTTTTTAGTTCAATAACCAAAGGGTGATTGACGATCACATTGTAAGGTATACTAGTTTGGGATGAGTAAGAAAATAGGCTAATAAGGAACAACCCTGGTGTGGAACTCTTCGTGTGAGTGCGATTTTAAATTGCCGTTTTTTTTAAGTTTAAAATCATGCAGTCTATGTTTGCATTTGCGCAATGATATGCGCTTATGATGAGTTTCAAAATATCCTTGGATTTCCTTAAGCTGTTTATATTGCCTCCTTTTTAACACGCTTTTATTAGTTTCACCTGTATGTTTGTTTGGATGTATGTAACTGACTCGTTTGGACTCGATTTTGCCCAATTTAAAGCGATCAGATTTACTTTAAACTTGGCAAATATAGGTAGATTAGATGACAATACAATACAATTATGGGACCACCGATCTGATCTGATGATGGGACTGGAAGGTGGCTGATGGAACCTTGGACTGCCTACTAGTAAACATATCGAGTTTGGGCTCATTAGATTCGTCTTAACACATTCTGTTCATTTCTCCTGATGACGAGGACCTGATGATGGACTGGAAGGTGGCTGATGGACCCGGGACTGCCTACTAGTAAACAAATCGAGTTTGGGCTCAATACACTCGTCTTAGTATATTCTGTTTATTTCACGTTACAGGGGGATAATAAAAAAGTCTTGCAATAGTTCACTATTCGGAAATGGAGAGGATACGTATTCAGTCGCAGTAAACTCGTTCTATTTTTTGTAATAAACTAAAAAGAGAAAAATAAATTAATAGTTTAAAATACTAACAACACGCTTTTACTTACTGCACCAAAAAGTCAAATTTTAATTAAGTTGATTTTAAGATAATATAACTGAAAAAGCGTGGGGTGCTTTATATAGTAATAATTATCAAATGTATTAATATATTACGTGATGTATAATGTTCAACAATTCAGTTAAAATTTAATAATAAAGCGCCCCACGCTTTTTTCAGTTATATTTATACCTGCATATATCTTAAAATCAACTATAAACATGACTTACTCTAAAGTCCTAATGAAGCAAACAGAGAGTGTATTATTTTGTTTATTTTTGACTTTTTAGTGCAGTAAGTAAAAGCGTGTTTTTAGTTTTTTAAACTATATTTTTTTTTCATATATTATAGCTATTGAAAAAAAACCTAGGTACTGTTTCGTTTCTTCTTTTAATTTATTTTCAACACTAAATACGTTTATGCAGTTAAGAGAATGAATGAATAAAAAAAAATAGATGTCATAGTTTTTATTTTTAGGAATAGAAGTAGTGGGAAAAAGCTTGCTTAGGGTAGCCTTGAACTTTTCTCCAACAACAATGGCTAAGGTCCTATGGAACATAAAATATGTGTGTAAAATGACGTATTTCGTATGTACAGGGTTGCGCAAAAGTAATCGTCCAAATTTGTTTTTGTATAAGTTTTTTACTAAATAAGCTAAAAAACGATTTTGAATTCTTTACTAAGACCTTTAAATTTTTTTATTAAGTGGAAAAGGTAATTCCGTCATTTGGCTGCCGACAATGTTGATACACTTTTGTGCCAGTTTTATAGCATTTTCCATGATTTCCTTAAGTTTGTCAGATATATTATCAATGTTCACATTCTTGTCGAATGAATTACTCTTTGTGGGCTGCGATTCTCTGAGGCTTGTTGGTATGAAATCGAGACATCGGTAAAAGAAAGAAGTCTGGGGCGGTTAAATCGGGCGTTTCGCTGGCCATGCCAAATGTCCAAAATGAAATCGTGCTGTTTGTGCGGTTGCATCTTCTTGTTGAAACCACACACTTCACACGCTCTTGCGGAGTATCGTGTATTCTTCTCTGTTTGTATTTTGTATATGTCTAGTTTACAAAATATCAAATTATGATTGACATACGACGTTATTTGCAATAATTATAACATCTTCTAATAAAGTGCTTACTTTTGTACCCCCTGTATATTTCAACGCTTCAATGTCATCTTCGTGAAAAATATTTATATGAAGATTGGAAAACATATTGCTGTCATTACAGAACTCCGCCGTGCGAAGGCCGGTAAGTTTAACATTTTTGCAATTTCATTTTTTTTTGAGATTCCCTGAAGAGGTTTTGTATTAAATGAACTCATTATAAACAGTGATTTTCTCCAAACAAACTAATACAGCTATAAAAAAAAACACACAAATTTTCTTTTATATTTAAAGTAGAAATTTGGTAGTTTAATTTATTATTATACTAGCTTCCACCTGTATCTTCGTCCGCGTTTAACTTTAGTTTCGTGCAACTTTCTTTACCATTTTTCAATAAGAACCTTCTACAAAAAGTTGATTTTAGAAAAACTCAAAATAAGTTCGTTCTCAAGCTATGTTGCTGTCTTTAGTTATTACTGCAAGGGCGTGACCAAGGGATATTCATTTTAATATAAAAAAAAAAATACAGAATTGACTATAACTCTCTTTGTGATTGTAATTTTGGGATTGGAGAATTTTCAAGTATTATTTTATTTCGTTTAACGCACAGGCATTGCAGTTTGGATATATCTGAAAGCTGATTGAAAATGAGGATCGTCACATTGTGCTTCTTAGTCGTCGTAGTCGTGGTGGCATACGCAGCTCCATATGAGAAGGAAGAGAGCTACAACGTGGACGAAACACTTGAGAACAGAAGAGTGTTACTACCGTACCTGAAGTGTGCTCTTGAGCAAGGCAAATGCACATCTAACATGAAGGATATGAAGAGTAAGTCCAATTGAAAGTTTTATGAGATCTACACTCTTTAAAAGACATAATCGAATCAGATATATTCCTGGTGCCTTAAGCATCTATAAATTGAGCCATTTTTTGCAATGCATTATACGCAGATAGATAAGGTTAAATACCAACACCATCAATACAGGATAGGCAACAGCGTAAGTAATACTTTGGAGTCGGTTTGGCATCTGGCACTTAGCATCTGGTCTATCATACTTTTGTCTTTTTGCCATCCTATTTTACCTACACGAAATAGTTAAACATTGAGTTTCATCATTAGAATTAAGAAAAAAGGACTTCCAACTCGTTTGTTGTTAATGACGAATGAAAATAAAAACTGACACTTGGAAACCTTGAACCGTGATAAGTATATGTATGCTTGTCTTCAACGCTAAAACTTGTTCCCTTAACTCTTGAGGATAACTAGTTTTACTCATGTCTATGTTAATTTCATTATCATAATAGTCACCACAATAAGTTTATAAGCTTTGTTTTCCGTCCGTCTGTCAATGGACTTTATCTTGTACACCGTTATAAATAGTAATTGGTCGGTATATTTCTGTTGTTTAAGTAACGACATAATAATTATAAAAAATATGTTCCAACTCAAACTCTTTATTTGCAAGCAAATAAAGAGTTTGCAAGGTGTATTTATAGTAAAAGTATTTTTGATGGTATTTTAATCGGCTAACAACCCTATTTTCTCCGTCCACTGGACCCATTGCAATGGCTCCACCATGAAACCAAATAAATTTGTTTTTCTCCTGAGTCTTTTATACTGTCCATTGCAAATGATGGATTCTAAAATATTTCAAGGTGCACTTGGATCCTCTAAAGAGTTTAACACGATAATTTTCTCTAATAAATAAGCTGGTAAAATCAGTTCCTACTACTTTTTTTTATTATTAATATAAAAAGTAAAGCTCTTCGGAGGAACGTGTACTCGGACACGTTCATATGTCTTAGAATTTATTGATTGCAATGGATCGGTATAAGGCACTAAGGTGGAAAGAAAATGTTATTAAGATCCATGATGGATGTGTCACAGGCAATTTGTATGATTCCGCATTTTACAAGCGGCATTGTTCTTTTAAAAACGCTTGCTGTTTTAAAATATGCCGAAGACAAATTGGCGACTGTCAGTTTTAATAATCAACCTCCAGTAAAGTTAAAAATTCTACAATCGAACGTGGCTGTTTGTTATACGACTCGCAAACGGATGGATTTTTAACAACATGTTTTTTTTCTTACAGAGGACATACGGAAATCGTTAACTTTTAAATGTGTAGAATGTACAGAAAAAGAAAGAAGAGACAGCCGGAAGATAATTAAGCATTTGATCAATAAGGAGCAAGATTATTGGCAGCAGATTGTTCAGAAATACGACCCTGATAGGAAAGCCGCGACCGATTTCGAAAAGGAGTTTAAGGAATAATTTTGTTAAATAAATTCTAGTTAGACTGCAATAAGATTAAATTAAGTTCGCATTAGCTAGCGAAAATTTAGGTATCAAATTATTTAAGTACAATCAATTGGAATGATTACCAAATACTTGTTACACTATTGTGCATTTTTATTTATGAATTTGGTCAGTGATATTAGATGTTAATTACTTTCCTTCTCAAGTATTTATGATGTTAAATATTTAAGTGATGGTCGTCTTTTAAAAGCATTTAAATGATTTAATAGAATATTATCATGAAAATTATTTAAGTAACAATAAAGAACTTTTAGTATGATGCCCTTTTTTAATTATTTTCTTTCAATCAATGGACGCTGAATTCTGATGGAATACATGAAAACTTTTTTACGATGAAATGTATGATCATCTTTTTTTACTACACTTTCATGAAGCACATGAAGAGTAAGTTAACTTGAAAGTTTTCGGAGTTCTCGAAGTTTTCATGAAATTGGAGTAGAATAAGCTGGTGATTTCATAAACTTTTGTTAATTATTGTACCTAATTTGGTTTGTTATTACAACTTTTCAGCACAGGCAATTGATTCTTAAGTTCGAATTTATATCATAATACACCGACTTTTGCTAGGCGTTCGACAAAGTACTTATTGGTATATTTTGTTTGTTGGGTTCTAATGACTTAGTCTTAGTAGTAGTACGGCGGGCTGTTTCCGCAACTCGACACCTAGTGCCTATTTTGCGTGGGGATTGGCATCAGTCCTGCCATCCCAGCTCCTCCAGAAAGCTCAGCAGTCCCCGAATGTTTCTGCAGGCCTCTACTATTGTCTTCGGGCTTCCCATTAGAGAAGTCCTTTGTCTTGCAACGCCCCTGCACTCCAGTAGGACATGGGCGCTCGTCTCATCCGCCTCCAGGCAGGCTCTGCACAGAGGGCTGTCAGAAATACCTATATTACAAAGGTGTTTGTTAAAGTAGCCGTGACCCGTGAGTATACCCACGATTTGTTTCAGGGCTTGTCTAGGTAGTCTGATTAACTTACGTGTTAGCTGCAGGTTTACCTTAGGAACGGCTTCCCTGGCTTGCCTGCAGTCCGTGAGTTTTGACCAGTAATCGTCTTGTTGTCGTTGAGAGCGCTCCCTTATCCAGGTTCGCAGCTGCCGATAGGGTATGGGTATAATTGGCTCCGGACCAATGGCCGTCCTGCTAGACCCCTCCCTGGCTAAGCAGTCCGCCGCATCGTTACCCCTTGAGCCACTGTGTCCTTTAATCCACTGTAGGGTCAATCTATTGTCGTTAGCAATATTAGTCAACTTACTGTGGCATTCGTAAATTAAGCCTGATGTCATTATATTGTTGTCCAGTGCCTGTAGGACAGAAGCGCTGTCAGAGAGGATACGAATGTGTTTACCTCTTACCCCGCGACATTCTATCGCCTCAGCAGCTCTGATGATGCCCACACACTCTGCCTGGAAGACCGTGTTATAGGCACCCAAAGCTGTCGAGATGTGTATATTCAGGTCTTCGGAGAAGACACCCGAGCCCGTGCCACAGTTGGTTTTTGAACCGTCTGTGTAGACCCTCAACTCCTTATGCAGACAACGGTCCGGGGTGTCTTCATAGAGTTGAATTTTGTACTTTTTGTCAAATACGTACGTCTTAGGAATAAGGTCGTTTACTGCTGCAAAGTACGGAAAGTGCCTGTGTATGTCTGCCAAGATGCTGGTGTGCGGGGAGTTGTTGTCTCTCCAATGCCCCAGCATGCTTAGGCGCGTGGCTGTACATGCAGCTTCCTGTTGTATAAACAAGTGGAGTGGTCTCACGTTAAGTATTGTCTCCAGTGCTGATGTGGGAGTGGTTTTCATGCAGCCGGTGATTGCACAGCATGCCCGCCTCTGGAGACGTCTTAACTTATTAATTGTCGTTACCTGGATTGTCTTGGTCCACCATACTACTGCTGCATAGCTGATGATGGGCCTAATTATGGTCGTGTATAGCCACTTAACAATGAGCGGTGATAGTCCCCAAGTTTTGCTAATCATTTTGCGACATTGCCAGAAAATGATGTTAGTCTTCGTTGTAGTTTTGTCTATGTGGGATCCCCAGTTCAGTTTGGAGTCTAGGGTTATTCCTAGATACTTTACCTCGTTGGAGAGCCTCAGTGTCGTGTTAAATAGTTTCGGTAGCCGATAGTCGCCTAATGATCTTTTATTCGTGAACATGACCAATTCCGTCTTCACTGGGTTCACCTTAAGGCCGTAGTCGTCACACCATTTTTCAACAACCTTCATTGCCCCCCGCATAACATCACAGGCGGTGCTCGCAAACTTACCTGGAATTATGATTGCAAGGTCGTCCGCGTAGCCCACCGTGTGGTAGTGAAGGTTGTTTAGTTTGGTAATTAAGTCGTTTACAACTACATTCCATAGCAGAGGCGACAGTACTCCTCCTTGAGGGCATCCTTTAGTTGCCAATGCTCTGAGATGGTTGTCGTCTTGTAGTCTGATTAGTCTGTTACGGAGCATGTTACTTACCCAGTATACAATGGTCTCATCGACTCCGTGTTTGCCAAGTGCGTCTACTATGCTGGCGAAGCTTGTTTTGTCAAACGCGCCTTCTATGTCTATAAAGGTGCCCAGACATAGCTCTTTCCGTCTGAGACTATCCTCTATTTTACTTACGACTGCATGTAGTGCAGATTCTGTCGACTTGCCTGGACTATAGGCGTGTTGGTTCGGATGTAGAGGAACATTGACTAGTTGGTTGTCTCTCAGCTCTCTGTCGCACAGTCTTTCCAGGGTCTTTAGCAGAAATGATGAGAGACTTATTGGTCTGAAAGATTTCGCCTCGTTGTAGTCTGCCTTACCCGGTTTTGGTATGAAGATTACCTTGACCTCCCTCCAGAGCTTCGGGGTGTATCTAAATGCAAGACACGCTCTCAGGAGGGGCACCAGGATAAGGATTAGTACTTCACCTGCCCATTGAAGCAGCGCCGGAAAGATGCCATCTGGTCCGGCTGCCTTGAATGGCTGGAAGCTGTTTATGGCCCACCTTAACTTATCTGTAGACACTGTCTTCAAAGCAGTGTTCCAGGATTGTTCCGTGGGGGTCCAGCTAGTGTCATTCCAAGTATGTGTCGTGTGTATGATGCAGCCCGGAAAGTGGGTTTCAAGTAGTACCCTCTGTGCCTCCTCAGTTGTTTCTGTGAGGGAGCCATCAGCCTTCCGGAGCTGTGCTAGGTCTTGCTGCCTATCTTTAGATAGCAGTTTCCTTACCTTATTTGCCTTTGTGCATGAGTCTATATCTGAACAAAATTTTCTCCAAGACCCATTGCTCCAATGTCGGATGCGTCTCTTGTAGAGTGCCTTGGCATCTTTGTACGCATCCCAGTCCTGGTCGTCACATGTATTCATGGCCCTGTTAAAAAGTCTTCTTACCTTTTTCCTCAGTTTTTCCAGCTCGGGACCCCACCAAGACTGGCTGGCACCCGAGTTGGATGATGGTGTACTAAGAGGACAGGCTGTCTGATAGCTTGAGATTATAACTCTTGTTAATTCCTCAGCTGTTTCGTCTATCTTATAAGTTTCGTCTAAACTACCAGACTGCAGATGTCGCAGTGACCGAGTTACCTGTCTGCGATACTGGCTTCTGTTTGTTTTGCTAGGTATGCGTCTAGGTGGCTGGGTGACACGCTGTACCGCGATGTTGAACCTAATCCACCTATGGTCAGAGCAGGATGCCTCTGGGGAAACGTGCCAGTCAGAGATCAGATCCGCTGCTCTTCTTGATGCTAGTGTAAGGTCGATGATGGATCTGCCCCTTCTTGTTACGAAAGTAGGTTCAGATCCTGTGTTTATTATATTAAGGTTAGTGGTAAATAGATAATCTACTAATTCCTCACCTCGTTTGTTGCTTTTCGTCATACCCCACAATTGATGGTGGGCGTTGGAGTCGGTGCCGATGATCAGCGCCTTGTCTGTTTGTTCGCAGTGTCTCACCAGCTCAGCCAGTTCCCCTGACGGAGCTTCCTCTCCTTCAGGCATGTAGGCAGAGGCAACTACCAGGACAGGTACACTTGGATTTTGCTGTTGTATAATTTGGATTGTTGTTATGTCGCTAGAACAAAATTGTGTCATTATTTTGCCTGTAGGTGTTTTGAACATACTATGCAGGTCCGCGGTGAGCGGTTACCTGGGTTGTAAAAATTCTTACCACCGGTGTTGTTGAGGCCACATATGATGTTGGATCTGATCCACGGCTCCTGGACCAGAGCAATAGCCCCGTCGTTGTTGTCCTCCAGCCACTTCCTGAGTTGAGCCGTTGCGGTGCGACTGTGCTGGAGGTTGGTCTGCAGGACTTTGATTTTACTCGGTGGAGGCGCCATCGGACGCAAGCAAAACATCGACATCCACCTCCTGCCCGATGTCGATTCCACCCAGTTTATCTGCCCAATCGTCGATGACGTCCGCTGCTCCTTGCTCACCCAAAGTGGGATCCGCCGGAGACGGAGTCGCTGTCACCTGCTTCTGGTCGGGCGTGGATGCTGCTATGCCCCCTGATGTGCTCGGCGACGGAGCAGATGTTGGTGACTCTAAAGGCGGCAGGCTCTCCAGGTATTGACCGCCCTGGTTCCTGAACCTAACGTACACCGAACCCATCAGGTAGCACAGTCTCCTTCCTCTCTCCAGAAGCTTCTCTGCAACGTCCCTGGTGGTGCTGAACACCAGGAACGTGTTGTCATCACCTGCGATGGCCTTATGCAGTAACCATCGGTCGACGTCTGCTTGTTTATTCTGATAGCGCAGCAGCTTGGCTATCGTATGTGGTTCCCTCGTACCCGGGACAAGAAGACCACACACCACCTTCTTCGGCCTATCAATTTGGCGCTGCACCATCAGTTCGTCGTCATACCCCGGGACCTTTAGGCCAGCTACGGTCTTTTTTACCCACTCCAGCGTGCGGGGAGTCTCACACCAGAGGCTGAGAGCTCCGTCTCCAATAATGGGCTTGCCCTTAAGGTTCGGGCCTTCGTCCGTTGAAGGTCCTGCCATAAGGAGTTCCTCAACAACGGCGTCCTCCAGAGCCTTAAGGACAAACCCAGCATGGGCAGCGCTGATGTGGCCTGTCTTTTTGCCCGTAATTACTACGAGCAAGTCGGCTGTAGCAGCATCCGCGAAGGATTTTTTGTCCGTTGTTCGACGCGGCCCCTCGGATCTTGGTTTTTTATATTGACCCCTCGGTGAGACCGTGTCGTCCAGTCTGGGCCTTTTCGAGGCCTCTTGTCTGTCCGTCTGTCCTTTGTCGGTTTGTCTGTCCGTCTGTCCTTTAGCTGTCAGTCTGTCTGTCTGTATCTTGTCCTGGGTTCCTTGACCCGTAACAATCTGCTGGGCGGCCTTGCCAGCTGCTGTTTTGTTACGGGCCTTCCTAGCCCTCTGTCCGAGTCTGTGCCGGTCGGTTGTCGTTTTGTGTTTGTCATTGTTTGGATTCCCAGTCTTGTCCACTGCCTTCCGATTCTTACGTCGATAGGTAGCGACCTGCCAGGAGTCCAAGTCACCAGCCACGTCCTGTGGTTGTTGCCTGACACCGGGTTGCCCCTTCACCAAGGCTTCCAACGCACGGGACGTAGATGGTACGTCTAGGTCTAGGTCAGTGTTGGTCGGCCTGACACCGGGTTTCCCCTTCACCAGGTATACCGACTCTTTGTCTGTTATATTCGTCTGCCTGTCACCGGGTTTCCCCTTCACCAGGTCTCCAGACGATGTCATGTCCTTGTTCGTTTTTGTATGGGATCTGTTGGTTTCCATTACACGTGTCTCAAAAAAGTTCATCCTCACCAGTCCCACCCGCCACGGAGCCACAACTGGGATGCCGATATCAAAAATCAAGGCACCAGGATTGTGGTGAGGATATAGGGGCACAGGGTTTTCCTCACAGCGCGACATCGGGAACTGCAGCTGCATGGCTGGTAGTCGATCCCAACTACCAGTGGTTCCATGCAACCTTGCTCCTTCAGCATGGCCAGAGTCCATCGCTAGATGTTAAGAGCGACCCCCACACCCCTCGCCGGCGACCCATAGACGGTAGACGCCTTGACCGTTGCCTCGTGGTCGGCTACACCACGAAGTTACCGTCTCGCTGGAAATCCGGGCCAAAGTGCTGTGTTGCTTCCGGGGTGCCGCAGCTACCCTTTCCGCTCAAACACCAGGATCCCTTCATCCCTGCTTACGGCGATGCTGCGCAGGTCCTAGCGCAGGAGAGGCTGACGCACCACCAGGCCGCCTCCCTACTCCTGGTGGATGGGGGGGGAAAGTCGTCTGACCATTTCAGTTACGTCTGTTTCATAGGGAATCAGACCAATAACGGGCGGCAACCACGTGAAGGAAAACAGCCAGGCTTGTCTGGGGGATCTACACGACATGCGCTCGCTCCCCAGACCATTCACCAAATTACCAGACGGGACGCAGAATGGTAAAATAGGTGATGTGTTAGGTTTAGCCGTCTTTGTGCTATATATAAACCTAACACATCCCCCGCCCGGGTTCTAATGACATGAATACATATACCTGGTGATTAGAAAATTTATTAAAACAATTTATTAAAATTTTACACTATTATGGAGAGCACCTCGGACCGTTATTGTTAGTTTTTTTTATGTTATAGGGGGCATACGAGCAGACTGCTCACCTGATGGTAAGTGATCACCGTCGCCCATAGACACTTGCATCACCAGGAGTATCACAAATGCGATGCCGGCCTTTAAGCAAGGAGTACGCTCTTTTTTTGAAGGTTTTCTTTTTTGAAATGGAAACACTGCTGGCGACAATATATTCCACAGTTTTGTCGTACGTGGTAAAAAAAACGCACGGTTGTGGATAGCCACGCATCAAGATGGTGGGGGTGAAATTTTTGTCGCGATGTACGATGGCGAAATGCAGCAGCTATGCTTAATAAATATTTATACAAATGCATTAAATATGCGATCCCATTTCTTTATGCTGATAACTTGTACATTTGTTGTACATTAAAATTATTATACATTCTTTAAAAATACATCTGCCGAAAGCCTGTATAAAAAAAGGATGTCTTGCGTTCAAACACGAAAACAAAAAAGCTCTCAAGTTTCTTTTTACATAAATGAACTCTCCTCTCTTCGAAGTTGGTTAAAATGGTATTAATAAATTATTGAGACCGCTGCCCTAGAGAGTAGATTTTTACGAATATATTTATAATAACGATATGGATGAGAATATGATTGAAATGGGTTCGATTTTAATCAATACCACAACTATACTAAACCAGGACTGCACAGTTATCACGAGTCATGACTTTCGGTAATTAGTAGACAGAGTGTAATATTTGAAGTGATCTTATTATTACCACACTAAAGATCAAAATACAGTACTCATTTCACGATTCGAATATTATTTACCAAACGGGTTACCATATTATCTCAGACACAAACATACTATCTCGTTGTTTACATATCCGGACTTATATTTGGACTCAGTAACTCTATCATTAAATACGAGTATTCAACGAAGATGCATTGGAAAAAACAAGCCGTGACTATAACTTTTCTGGTGTCATGCTTTATAAGAATCAGTGTGCCAACTTCTACTAGTGTCGATAAGTGTATAGAGTATTACAAAAGTGATGAAATCTTCGATCTGACTATACTTCAAGGCGTCAGATACACAGTGTATTTTTGGCCTCCGAACCAAAGACAGAGAGATGTGTGTGAAGTGACAAATTTCAAAATACTTACCGCCGAGGAAATAGAGAGTGCGAATAGAGAATGCAGTGGGTTAAACCTAGGCAACGAAACTGTTCTGCAGTCTTCATATAATAACGCTGCCGGAAAACCAGTAAAGCTGCTGTATTACGGAGCGGGAGAAGTGAAAAGCTTGTATCGAAACTGTGAACGAATTTGGAAGTATTTATTTAGACGTATCAACGGTGACTACGTCATGGGTATTAACTGTTCGACTCGTGGACGCGGAGTGTTGTGGTCTAAATCTCTGCCGACTGTGTCTCAAGTCAACTCAGTTGTTGCAAATATTGAAATAATGACAGGCAGAGAAGGAAGTCCAGATTGTAAGCTATCGGCACGATAATTAAATAGAAATTTTGTAATTCGTTCACATATTTTATGTGTGTATTGAAGTGATGATAAAAAGGAAACAAAAAAGCAATGGTCAATCTAACCTAATCTTAGGTTTGCAATTTAAGTTGTTTTTGAGAATCATTTATATTATTCATAATCATTTGTTAATTTAAAAGAGCTGCATTGCTGTAGGGCTAATTTTCTTCTTTATTCGAGTAAGTGCTCCATCTGCTGAGCTATTCGAGGCATTGTATGAAGATTACAAGAGGTTTTTTAACTACCTGTATAAATTACATAAGCTTAAATTAATATATTTTAGGATTTTATTGTGAACAATAAGAAAAGGCAGCAGCTGTAAGCAGCCATTATGTATAACGTTTTATATTTTTTGTGGTGTATAATAAAGAGTTTTTTTATTATTATTATTAAAAGGCTAAATTATTGATTTTATATTTAACATAATAACCTAAAAATCTTTAGGATGTTTACTTTTTTGTACAATAGCATGAGTTCCTAATTCATAAGTATGATAATACTGACTTTAAATTTTGTGTATTTAAGTTCAATGATATTGTATTTTTTGTTGTTGTTTATTTATTATGATCTACTTAATATATCAGTTAATATTGTAGCAATATTAATTATCATATTAACGTGATCATCCTCCTCTACATAGAACGATTTGGTTTTCTGCATCTATTGGCTTCCTTGACTTATTGGATCTGGGTGTCATAATACACCTAAGTGGTGGTCTTACCAATACTGCTTGTTAAAACCTTTTTTAAAAATAAATATTAATATGAAAAATATTGTTTTATTTTTTATGTACATGAATATTTTACAATTCTACTATCAAATGTGTCAGGCAACTTTTACCTTAAGTATAAGAGCATCTTTTTAATGTGGTGTTTAAAGTGGTGTGTTGTGTGTGTCGAAGATAAATATATCTTTTTAATGTTCTTTTTCTACTTAAAAGTCAATCATAAATATTTTTAATTGCTAATTACGTTGTTCAACCATGTTAACAGATTACAAAATATGTATAGGTATAGGACACAATATAAGTAATATCCTGAACTCACACACATTGTTTTTTGCGTAATAACGTCTTATAAATCTGGTAAGAAGCTTTGGTGAATGACACCGGCGCTAGATCACCAAACAGTGACAATCACTTTTTAGGGGTCAGTTTTCGTTTAGGGCATTGTTTAGGTGCTGAAACAGGATCTAACCAACTTGTGAAGCGCTTGCGATTGTCAAGCAGAATAAATTTTTCGTCGCAAGTAACAATGTGATTTAATATGACGTCTTCATTTGTGTGCCTATTGAGCAGTGCAAGGCTCGACTCAGCGCACTTTACGCTGGCGAGCATTCAATTCGTGGAGCACGGTTTTTACCTTGCCAATTTGACGCAAATGGACCAATATTGATTTGATGCTAACATCGAAAGCTGCTGCTAATTCAGCTGCAGATAGAGAATCATCAGCTTCCACAATTGCCTTTAAATCGTTATTGTCGACAAATTTTTTCGGTCGACCACGGGGTTCATTTCTTAGGTCGAAATTTCCAGAACGGAAGCGGGCAAACAAATAATGGGTGGTGCTATCGTTAGTAGTGTTCGCTCTGTGTACGTCATTGATGTTGCGTGCCGCTTCTGCCGCTTTGCTGAAATAATCACTCGAATTTTAAACGTATCCATGATGATGAAAAATGTAAAAACGCGCTGAAAACAAAACGCTTACCATGAAACAAATGACTAATTTTCAAAAAAGTCTAATCTCATCAAGTCTAACTCTATATTTAAAAAATAAAAATAATTTGAACTAAGAATTCTTAGCGAAAAAAGAAAGAATTGGACTTGAAATAGCCAGCACGGCAAAACGGCAGTTTCATAGGTAAAGAATTATTATTTTTAAAAGCGGAATCATACGTGCAGCTGCTAAATAACAACATCATAATTAAAATCTACCCAACGTCACTCAATGAAGTCATTGCTCTTATTTGAAGCCTTTTTTGTGCTACGTTTGTTTTTTCCGATGCGTATGATAACAGTATACCTACATTTATGAGTTGGTATAAAAAAACTTAAGTCCGCATTTAATTATAAGTTTTGATTGATCAGACAGCGCAAAAAGAAGATTCAATTACATCTGCGTGTTGTATTCCTAATGAATCTGATGATGTTAGAAAATACGTAAAAATTATGCAGTTTCTTTTATTCATTTATTTAGCATCTAAAACTGCAGCAGTATTTAAAGCGCATTTTTAATTATTAAAACTTTTCCATTCACACGAATACACGGATCAGATTTTTTATTACCTTTTTTAACTTATTAGCGAAGAATATCTATTATAAATGACCCGTCCAATGACATGGGTAAAAACATTAGTTACCATAATACAAACTGCTTAGTTAAGGGCTGTGATTTGCTCATAATGTATTAAAAGAAATAGTACTAGCATAAAAAAATATAATAAAAGGGTTCTGTGAAAAGAAAGCTCCTGGAGGATTATCAAACAACGAAACACAAGAAGCACTGAAACAAATAGCTAGTATTATAGATAGAAGTTTAACAGGTTTTCAGGAATTTTCTCCCAAATACAAGAGTTTTAGCGATTTCTTATATCATAATCTCTACTAGAATGACAACGCGGGCAAAGTCTCACTCTTTTAACAAAATCGTCGACACCACATAATATAGAGCGAGGAACAAACAAGACAACGGCTGCGTTGTTAGACCGGTAGTTAAATTTGACTATAGTTAAATCCTATAGAAAAAAATAAGCATTTGTCAAATTTTTACTTATTTACTTTGTATTTGTCGTGACATTATCTGTAGTCAAATTGTACTATCGATGAAATAACGCGGCCGTATAGTCCAGGATCCCTAGCCCCGGATGCTCCGGGGTATCTTCATCGGGATAGGTCCGTTCGCGGACAAACACCTGGCGGGTGCGCGGCCATTCGGAAACGGGAGCCGCGACCACACCCACGCACGCACGCACTAGGGGGACGGTGCAGAAGTATTGTCTGGTTTTAAGTGGCCATGTTCAGGGCGTTAGGTAGGGCCCTGTTTATTTCATCCGGCCAGAGGGCTGGCTAAAATGAACAGGAAGGAGTCCCACATACCTTCTTCTCGCTCCTCCAGTGGTTGAAGGATTCGTTAGGCATTTCAAGCCTCATTCCTAGCCCGCCGGACCTTACTTATTTTCAATATTAAGTTAACATTATTGTCTACAACAGACGTAAGAATCAGTCCTCTGATTGTCCACCTGATACCCGAGAATTGGCCCACAGCACAAGTTAGCGACTACGTTAATTGTACTCACTAATACTACTCGTATATCCATCAGAAAATAAGTACGGGTCTGGGATCTTACACTATTAGGGAAAGACAAATTTCCTGTTTTAATGAGTTTTAAAAACAAAGAGATCGTTGTACGTAGGGCCACTACGTATTTCAGAATGTTGATGGAATTTAATCGAAATGAAATGAAATTTTAAGTTTTGAGTATGAAAGAAAAATTTGTAAAAAAAAAATTGAATGATATATGAATATGTAAAAGGTATTTGTCTATCCTCAAAAGATGAGAAAGCTATTTAGCGTATTTTTATCAAGACTGGGATAACGGTCTCCGTACGCCGTTACTAGTTTGACAATTTAATAATTAATAAAATGATAGGTGTTTTGGTCTGATAAGGTGAATTTGTGTATTATTGTTTATATGTTCGTGATCTTTATCCATCTATGTAAAGTGATTCGAAAAACAATTCATCCCCTATTACAACCCACTCAAGTCTTCTTTTAGCGATAAACAGTAGCTTAATTCCATTTCTGACGTTCTCTTTATCAAAATAGGACCAGCTTTATTATGATATTAGAATGAATCCTCGTTATCGATAAATATAGAGTGGCGAAGTGGTTGCTGTTAAAGAAAGCTTTAAAATAAATATTAAAAAGAAAACTCTATTGCGGTTTTCTAAACTTTTAACAGAGAGAATACTGAGTGGATAGTTAGTACAATTTTCTATAACTCCCCTAGAGGAGTGCGTACATCTTATGATTGGAATAGTGCTATAATCGTTTACAAACAAATAATAATTTGATGACACATCCACTGCCGTTTTATTTATAGCATGTCTTAGAGAATATCGGCATCTTCGTCACGAAGTAGCCCACGGCAGCTGTGACGCAAAACAGACAACAGTCAAGTGCTTGTTCGGTGTCAAGTTCGTAGAAGCCAAAACCCGTTTATGATGTTGTTCTTGATGTTAAGCCAATGTCCTGCTGCTATATAATAGCCAAGTTATCCTGCCCATGGTCATTCCTTGTTGAACGTTCACACTGTGATATTAAACTACTAAGCTAATTATCATAATATTATATTTTTAAAGTAAGTGTTTTGAATATTTTCTGCTAATTTTTATATAGATACATAAACAGCTGACTCTTGTGATAACAAGGTCTTCTTTGCCAATTCGATGTATCTTTGATATCAAGTTATCTATTGTTTATACGATAAATACTTTTTCTCATTTTAAAAGTAGTTAAAAGTTATAGCAAGGCTGGTTCTGTTAGTAGTTAAAACTTCTTTGGCCGGGACATCTTGTACTTTTTTTTCTAATTTATATCGGGAAGTATGTATGGTGACTAACGCAGGTCCTGGAGGACTGCTGCTATAAATATTATTATGTCACTCTTAGTGCTTTAATGTCTTATACAGGAGACGTATGAAATAAAACAGGGAGAAAAAAAGCAGCCCTTGCTGACTTTCTTGCCGGTTCTTCTCAGTACAAGGTCTCCCGCCGTAGTTTTGGGAACCGATTGCGTAGTTTTCGACTTTCACGTGTGCTTGTAAAAGCCTAAACTTAATAAATGACTTTTGAATTGAAATTGAATTGAATTGACGTTCTCTATTGTTAAGGGCCTAAACACTATATTGGTGTCCCTACATAATTTGAAGTCCAAAACATCACAAAACATCACAAAACATTTTTTTAAAATTCACCATTATTGTTTTGACTGTGATTGATCGGAGGACTTCACTGCATTCTAATGCAGTAGTTATAATTTATTTGTCACGATCTATTTCAGGATGAAGTCTATGACAGTTTTCTGCATGCTCGCATTCGTGGCTGTGGCTTATGCTCTCCCACAACAGTACACGGACAAGTATGACAGTGTGGATTTGACTGAGATCTTGTCCAACAGAAGGCTGCTGGTGCCTTACTTGAACTGTATCCTGACAACGGGCAAATGCTCCCCCGATGGAAAGGAATTGAGATGTGAGTTGATCAAGTACTATATTGCACGCATCTAAACCATTGCACTTCATTCTAAAAATTTCGACATTCGTATCTTTGCAGCGATCCAATTTAGAAGCACCTTGGGTAGATTAAATTGGTTAATTTATAATAATGCTGGTTCTGTTCTGAATTTTTTAAATTCTGAAAAATAGTGATGCAGTTGATATTAAGCTCATTTTAAATGATATGATTATCGAAGTAGTTTTAATAATAAGATCTTAAAACAATTTCAATTCAATTTGACTGCTAAATATGAAATACAACTACCTAATGTTGTTCGGTCTAGCTTTATTTGTATCTAGAATATCTTTCGGAGTTTTTACACTCCTAATGTCCTAAAGTGAAAACCTAATAGGTATATTCTTGATCAAAATTGTACATTTGAGATCCTGCATCAATAATTTAAGTATAAACACTTAGAATATCGCCGATTGTTTACATTGCTACTGTGAAGTTAGTCATCACAGTGACAAGAATTATAAAAATTTTTTTGCTTGCTTATTCGTTTCTAGTTTCCATCTTATTAGCCGCAAAATATTCATAGAAAATATATTAATGATCTTTAGAAAATAAGAAATGCACAGCAAAAATACATTTGCCTGCAAAACATAGCCTTTAAGTTTTTTTTATTGTGTATTTGCTTTATGTATAACCAGTTAGACAGATGATGTTGTCCATAATAAAATTGTAATTATCACAGACTTTAGCATCCTTCTTTAATTAATGCGCTCGGTACATTTACAGAGACAATACGGCATTTCTGAGTTTATTGTTGAATTATCTCATCTATGTCAATTGAACTTATTACTTGAATGGTATAAATGGATCGTCTTTGTTCTCTACAAAATGACATTTTTAAAAAACAGTGCATTGGCACTGTAATATTGTTATAGTCAATTAATCTCCTACTTACTTAAAATATTTTGGATTTTCTTGAACCGTCTTATTCTGCTCTAAAATATAAGTAATATAAATAAGCATTTTGAACTGTCACACGGGTTAGTTACAGCCTTATAGCCAATAAGTCGTTTAAAGTTTGCATTTTGGTCCACAGCTCATATCAAGGAAGCTCTGGAGAACTACTGCGCTAAGTGCACAGAGACACAAAAGAACGGCACTCGCCGCGTGATCGGCCACCTCATCAACAACGAGGCTGACTACTGGAAGAAGCTGGTGGACAAATACGACCCGGAGAGGAAATACGTTGTCAAGTATGAGGAGGAACTGAAGACTGTGGCAGCTTAATTGGGACGTCGGACTTGAAAATGGTTGTGATTAGTTATAAGGAAGTAATAAATGGCGAATAAAAGTTTTTTATACTGCAATATTTGTGTGTTGTTTTTCTTGATTAGCGTAAAGTCGAAGTAGATCAGTTTGAATCAAACTGCATGCAAGCGGAAACTTTGTTTTAACGATTGTTCAAATAATTATTGTGAATCAACACTACTTATTTTTGTTATTCACATGTATGGTGGTGTACTTTTTCAAGCTGTATATAATCAGCTGATCAGATTTGATTTTCTTCCACCAATGGCCTGCGCAGACGAAGAACTTTAAAATAGATCGTTTGCAATTGAATCGAGTAACGCACACAACGGATCAAAAGTACCGCGAACAAAAGGTTCCCCGATTAATTTGAGTAAACCCACATAAACCCCTAAAACGTCCAAACTAGAAAAAAAACCCCGATTAACCGAGGACACCGAGGGATCGGTACCCTCAGCACGAACCAATATCGAATTCGAATAATTTGCGAGTGCGAAATGTCATTGTCAAACGTATGGAAACTTGAACTGCAGCGCCATAACGGGCGTAACGAGAACTAAAAATCAGTACACATTTGACAATGACATTCCGCACTCGCGACCTATTCGAATTCGATATTAGTTCGTGCTAAGGGTACGGACTGAACAATAGTACGGAACGGAGGTGGAGATAAAAATATAACTCATGTGACTAGGCGCAGCAACGCACACAGCGAACATATTCCAAGTTGCACACTCGATCCGATTTAAAGAGATGGACCAAGTATTCTCTTTAAAACATCTTAAGTCTTTTTTAAACTTCATGTTAATAACAACACAACGTAATCTGAGAATATTCACTTCTTTCGGGCAACAAATGTTCGCACACCGTGTGCGTTGAGTCTTAAACCAGTCCTCGGCGGACATATTTTTCACTCGTTTGCGCCAGGTCATTAGGTTATAAACTGGTAGTCTGATTTAAATCTAATGACCTGTGTATTCTGGTAACGAAGCGAAGGGCGAAACTAATAATTATGTAAGGTGATATAAGATTTTAGGAAGTAAATAGGGAGAACCACTAGTTAATTGTTAATCTAATTAAAGTCTATTCACATTGGCGTGAGACAAAATGTAAACAAACCATAAAAAGGATACTTTTTATGGTCACTTTTGACAAAAGTACAGATTAAATACTATTTTCATAGGAAATGAAGTGAAACATGAGGTTAATTTTTTTAAAAGCTGGTACATACATTTGAATAAGAAAATAAAATATTTTACATACATATATTTATTATACATACACATCATAAATTAGTATATTTTTATATTGCTGATAAAAGTATTTTAACAACATCAGTTGACATGGAAAAAGACCTAAAAACACAATCATTCCCAAACTAAGACGTATTATAATACGACTTTAAGAGTAGACATGATATAAGTATTTTACATTGAAATGTTGTATTTTATAATCTGTTGGTTTTTTACGTCAACCATCTTTACTCTCTCGATCAAACTGTTGACGCGAGCGTGCATTTTCTAAAAAAGTTTAAGAACCTCAGATTCTTTATTTACATTTTGTCTCAAGCCAAAGTGAATAGACTATAGTTTCTAATCTAATTAGCCATACATGATTTTATTTAGCCGTAATCATAGACTTCAATTAAATTTGCGCTTACGCTTCTCAGAGTGACGTGTTGTCTTAATCTATTGCTGTGGCAAAGAAATCAATATCATCAACTTTATAGATCATTGGTGTTCTTTCACAGTGCAGGTGTAGCGATGTCAACGACATATACTTTTTCTTTCGTAATGCATTATAAATATAAAATATTTTGTGCCGGCACTTCACTTGGCTATTTGTGTTTGTTATTTGTAAACTTAACAACAGTCTGTTCTTTTATCATCCCTACATAGTATAAAGCAAAGTCGCTTCCCGCTGTCTGTCCGTGTTGTATGCTTAGATCTTTAAAACTACGCAAGGATTTTGATGCGGTTTTGTTTTAAATAGATAGTATGATTCAAGAGAAACGTTTATATGTATATTTTTAATGTAAGGTCGTAAATAAACACATTTTTTTGCGCTTACACTGCAAACGCTGGCTGAACCCTACGAGATAGATAGATCAAAATAATGTACTACAGTATTGTACATCTTAAAAAGGTCTATAGAAAAAGTTCGCGATGGTATATTATGTCTAAGGGATAACCCACAATAACCATTTTTTATTCTTTACTTATTACGAGAAAGTAATGGCTTATTTACAGAAATGCGATGTTAAGCAATACAGCATTAATCCTTATCCAATAAATTACCTTAAATACATTGTGCATATAATATAGATCAATATGACCCTTTACAGCATGTAATTTAAATGAATATTTTCGAAGATATAACAGATTTAAAATGCAGGGACATAGCGCTTGCGCCAGTACCGGCCGGGGCTCGCGTGCCTATAAATAGTGCGTCGAAGGCCGCGCTTCGCTGCATCATTCCTCTCTCAGGGGATGATCGCTTCAGATGAAGCTTGTAAGGCATTTTTGGCCATAAGCATGAACTACGGGTGTTTTTTAGTCAGTAAGAGTCTGGCATAACCCTGCAGCCGGCTGTACCCTATGGATACCCCATGAGGATTTCTCAACCGCTACCCCGCCTGAGGAAACAAAAAAAAAAACCGCGCTTCGCCCTATAGCACTTTATGATTAGCAGCGAGCGCACGCGTTTATCGGCATTGCATCCGTGCAAAGCCGGGGCGGGTCGCTAGTTCCTTATAAAGCATGATAAGGACAGACTGTTGTCAAGTTTACAAATAGCAAATACGAATAGCCAAATGAAGTGCCGGCATAAGAAGTATGCGTTCTAATTGCTAAGACGTTAAATAAACTCAAATAAAATTAATTAAAGAAGGAACAAACATTATGTTTTTACTCAACTTAATGTAAAATCTTGTACAGTCCGAGTAAGAAATGGTTCGTCACCTTAAGATCTATTATCGTTTGCTCAGAATGAGTGATACTCTGCTTTGCCGATTGAGTATGACATATTGCAGTCGGTGGTTGACTGTCACTCGCCGTCAGTCGGGATGACAGTTACAATTTAAGGTTACCAACTTATTAGAATACAAAGCATTCAAAGCACTCGAGTAATATCGGAGATTAGCATGCTTTGTATCTTATGGAAGAGATAACGATAACAACGGTGTCATCTTGTTTACTGTACTCGTGGTATGCGGCTTAAGTTAATATTCAAAAGTGCCATCTCATGGATATGGAGAGCACTATCTTACGATCTTCCCGTTATGTCACAAGATTCCCCGGTGCTGCGGGGTGATGATCCGCATCTAATCCAGCAAGTCTGTTACGATTTGCTAATTTTCCGTGATGCTTGTTAACAATTTTTCGTGTTATACTATGTAACTTTCGTTGAGGCTTAGCGCAAGACAACCGATCACTATGGAGACTAGCGGTGGGCGTTTAAACGAAAAGCGCTTAAATAAGCGTGCTTAAAATATTAAGCTTGTAAGCACGCTTTTAAGTATAAGCGTTATAAGCTTTTCACTTAAAAAGTGTGAGTAAGCTTTCCACTTAAAAAAGTGCAAGTATATTTCTTACTTAAAAAGTGCAAATCCCGCCATCTATGTCTTTGCCAGGAAACTACATACTTGATCCTTCTAGTCCACTATAGTATCGAAAAATGGGTACGCGGAATTCCTTGGAACTAAATATTTCACAATATCACAGACATAGAACGCGCGACTACAGCGCCGCGTCGGCGTGCCATCTTTCGTGAGCCGGTTAATACAGCATGCGAATTATTATAATGCGACGTAAAAAAATGCAGTTTTTTAAAATTTGGTCGGATAACCAACGCTTTTTTCGTTAAAAGCCTTTAATTAAACGAAGTCGAAAAGCAGTACGCATAGAGTATACTAGTATGGCAGTACGCTTGTCACTGTGACGGGGTAAGAGCGCGTGGGTGTTGTACGGTGTGTTTGTATGCTTGCTTGTGTTAATGCGTTTCGTGTATTGGTTTAATGTGCATATAAAGTATGTATATAAAATCAATGAACTTTTAAGTACGCCTGGATCACGAGTATATTAACTCCAGACAGTCTTAAGCTTGTAAAGTACGAAGGAAAGTTCATTGACATATTATAAAAATGTTTATTAAAAAATCTAAATTAAATTGAAAATCTTTCGTTTTTAATGCCAATCAATTCATTAGGTTTAAAAAAACTTTTTAATAAAAATTTCATTAATAAGAAGAAAAAACGCAATAAAACACTTAAACACATTAAAAACGACAATAAACTTTTCACGCTTTTTTAAACGATATACCTAAACGAAAACACAACACAACGTCGCGCTTTTTACGCATGCTTTTAAACGTTTAAGCCAATAAGCGTTTAAACGAAAAAGCTTTTTTTCAAGCGCGCTTATTTTAAAAAGTACAACGTTTAAACGCTTTTAAGAAATAAGCCGTTTTTTTATCTCTAATGGAGACTGAAATAGACAGCTGATAAATACTGCCTGTCTATCCTCGCATTTGAATAAAAATCATCCAAGAGAAGAAAAATAAGGTAGAAAAATTGAGTTAAAACATAGATTCTTGCAAGCGCAGCGACGTTATGTAACTTGCAGCGTTTTCCCGGCGGAAGGTCAACAAGCTCGCCTACTATAAGCAGTCATCTAACCCCAAATGTTGGCAGATATGCATCCAGAACTGTAATTTCGGACAATATGGTCCTTCAAATACGTCTATCCAATTTCAACTACAATTCACAAGTGTAGTTTACTATGTTGGGATGATTGGAAGCTCTTTTCATCCCTCAAAATTGTGTGACGCCAATCGAAATTTAAATATGATCGGGCAAAACTTAAACGTTGAGCTTTATGAGCACAAGTTAAAGCCATTTTTTTAGCAGGACGGCGGTGATTTAATCACATTGAGTACAATGAATTTCTTATAATAATTTCTTGGAGACACGTCAAACATTTTTGCCTCATAAAATTTAATTGTTTATGGATGAGGGACGGGTAGCGTCCAGAACTAGTAAGGCGATGATTAGTAAGATTACCTATTTCTGCGTGTTTGATTATCCAGAACAGCAAAATTACGCTAATATTATACCCAGCTTCATGGTCTACAATAATTGAAGCTCGATTTGCTCGATGCTTATATTCCTCGGCATTATCAAATTACACACGATGGAGCAATGATTTATTATTGCAAAAATATGTGACAATGACAGAAATTTACGATTAAACAGAAGATATAGTAACTAATTAAAAGTTTGTAATAACCAAATATGCCATTAAAAAGGTTTGATGTTGATATGAAACTAGACGTAGGTCAACGGTGTGCAGTAATTTGACCCTTGTTATCATACTATGTTAGTATAATTTTATGTGCGGTTGTCTGCGTCATGATTAAGTTTCAAAAGGTACTAAGCTTTTACGACTTCACAAAGGAATGAAAAAGATAACTGATGAATGTTTTCTTACCCCGACTGTACATGGTACGCAATCTTTGAAGGTAAAGAAACAAAAGAAAGTGAAAATAATACAAATAAAAGATAACTGATATATTTGCAACCAAATATCGATTACAATAACCAATTAAAAACAAACCATAAATTTAAAAGCTAAAAAAACTGAATCAATTAAAAGTGTCTCTCTTCTTGAAATCCAAGGCCGGATGACTTGTCCACAACTTCTGTTTTCTTGAACTCAACAGATTCGGTTTTTCTCGCTTCGACCAAGTCAGCTTTCTTGTCATCGTTGGCTGGTGCTTGCACTTGTTCCACTAAATCAGGCTTCTGGTCTTCGCTCGGTTCAGTCCCTTTGTTCTTATCAAGATTTTCTCCAGCAAGGAATGGCTCGTATATTGGCTTGTATTCACCAATGGGATCGTATTTGTAGACTAGTTTTTCCCAATCTTGTGGCTCGTTCACCCGTATGTGATTCACAACCTTTCTTGCTCCGTCTTTCTGTTTGTCTGTACATTTCTTGCAGGCGGTTTGCATGGCATCTTTTACGTGCTCTGAAATTAATAAAAATGATACTCGTTGATGACTAAACCAAATTAATAATAGGTGATGATTTTACAAAAATTAAATTATTGATACTTGATAATGTAACCAAATGACAATGAAAACACGTACAATTAGTTTGAATGTAGGAAAAGACTGATTAGTAAAGTGTCTGGACATAATTTTCTATTGTTTTCAGTGTAATCGTATCTCTTGTTTCCTAATTATGCGGGTCAAGATAAATTAAAGTGTTCTTACAGTATAAAACAGAAAAGACGTATAAATTAAAAGAAAACTGTAAATGGATTATTAGAATATTTAATAGGTATGTGATTTTGTAGTGCTTAATGATGACCAAAACTCGTTAAGTACCGTAAAAAACAAGAATCCAATATGAATAAATAAAATTGATGCAAATTCATTGTGCCAGATTAGGACATGACATGATTTATTATAAGCTTGCATGGAAACCTTTCCTTTTAAACCGGAATAAATAAAGTCACATTCAATTTTGAGATGTTGCTTTTTTTTCTGGCGTAAGCTTCGTCAAGACTTGTTCCTATGACGCAAATAAGTCTTTATCGGCATCCAATCTCAAAATAATATTATTTTTCATATGTATTTTTTTGGGTGAGTGATTTGCAAGTTGTCGTCCGTCTATGTGATGTAAGATAACATTTGTTTTTTAAAGTACTTATGTCCTAATCGTAGCTATTATTAACATAGCATTCATTTTGAACTAGTGTTTGTCAGTTGATTTCTGATGAGTTCTCAGTAAGCATAGTTTGCTTTTCAAAGTTCACTGCGGAGAACTCATCAGAAATCGTATGGAAGTTGGGACATAGCTAAATGGACCTAAACAGAATAGTGTGTGTTTGAGGTGTTTTCATATACTTGTAGTCTAAAGAATATTATTGTAAGGAATCAACTTTTAGATAGTGATATTGATATCTAGGGAACAAGGTTAAATAAATACAATCTTCTTGATCGCAATAGTTCTATGGATAATACTAATGGATTTGGTTCGATTTTACCATTTTTACAAGTTTTGGGTTGTGGAATGTTTTCAGTCAGTCTAATGTAGAAAATGTTTTATATTTTTTTTCTGATTCAACTGTTTACGATACGTTCACCATACTTTTCAACTAAATCTGACATTTATTTTCCAACTAGATGTACGTCGTATCTCCGTTTGTATAGAATGATAATGTTTCAACATTTGAATTTGCATGCTCTAATTCACTCATTCCAATTTTGTCATAGCTACTATGATCTTTTCCTTAATATTCTCTGCTAAAAAATGTCTAATACGGTTCAGTCGTTTTAAGTGACGGACAGAGAGATTATTACTTTGGAATGCACGATAGCAATATTTTTTTGGTTTATGGTTGGCAGCGGGATTCCGTGGGATTGCGTGATCCCGTTTTGCGGGATTGCAATCCCTACTCGCGCCACTCGCTGGCGGTGAGCCTAAATTCTACTAAGTATCGCTTGTCGCTCAGCGACAACTAGCGGAGCGAGTTCACGCCGGCAGCGTGAATAGACAGCGATAACTATTTACATATGTACCTATATTGTTTACACGGAATGTATATCTATCGTACGTGTCTTGAGCGAGAAAATAGTCGATAGTTAATCGCTTCCTCGCCAGCGGTGGGACAACTGCCATAATATGTGCAGTTTACAATATTATTAGGAAATGTCAAAAAGGTTGTATAGCACTCACCTTTCAATTCCTTCCCTTCGGCGGTGCACCGACCCTGGTCGAGCACGCACCTGATGTACGCCGTCAGCAGTCTAGGGTTCGCAATGATTTCGTCTACGTCCACGTTGTCGAATCGATCCGTGTACGTGGTTTCCTCGGCAAGGCACATCGCTGCCATCCCCAATACCAAAAATATTATAAACCGCTGCATATCTGCAAGTAAATAGTAATATATCTATTACTAATATAATAAAGAGGAAAGATTTGTATATTGTAACAAATCAACATAAAAATTAAATAAATAAAAAAAAAATTTTACTTCACGCCTCAATTTTTTTAGTTAGTTTATGTTATTTTGGCTTAAAAAAAGTGGAATATAAAAAAAAGTTTTTCCTCCACTGGGAATAAAACTAGAGCAGCCCGCGTGACAGGTAAGCTTTCTTCCAATGAACCTTGGATTCGATTGGATTTTTTAATAACTATTAAGAATGGAATACAACATGCTAAAGATGAACGAAAAAATTTGTAACGACGCAATAAAAGTTTCACTTTAAAAATTATATGTTACATTTTATCGAGTTAAAATAAAGTTTAGGTACCCGTAGAAAACCGGGGCGGTTGACAAGTTTGTTATATTTTCCATTTTAAAGCTGGTGTAGCACGAATATTGATTGATGTTGAAAAGTTGGAACGGATTTTTCTCGATACGTCACTTGCAATTTTCTATGTAGACTAAATTTTTAAGTAATGGGTACCATAATCCCAAAATTATGAAAAAATATTCTCAACTGTTACAACAAAAAGGAATTAACATGAGCTCAGCTTACACAAATTTATTTTAAGAGACTTTAAAAATGGCAAACTCGGCAATTTCTTAATTAAAAAGCACTTATCTTTTCAATAACGCTGTAATAAAATGAGTAAACATGAGATCTATAAATAACCCTTACTACGAATAGTACTTTTTATATATTTTTATGTTAAAAGAGTAGCAAATAAGCTTATGGCCCGCCTGGTGGTAGGCGGCCACCATAGCCTATACACGCTTGCAATACCAAATTAATATCACTCGGACCCAATCCTCTACTCCGTGGAGCCCTGGAACCTTATTCACAGACAGAAAGACAACACCACCAAATGGTAGTGTTTTTTTTTACTGCGGTCTTCTTTAAAGTGGGGGTTACTTCCCCAGACGGGATCTCCTGTTTCGAGTGGAATTCGCTAAAGCCATCTCTCTTAATTATATCGTAGATTATTATAAGAGAGAATGGAAAAAACCCACTTTAATTACGTTAAGTACTCTTACTAAGCGCATGGGTATCGCAAGCCATCGATGTATATTTATACATTGCAATGTGCTGTGAGATACTTGATCTTTGGCCTAAGTTAAATCAATAAACTGAGAACAAACTAAATTAAAATTTTTAGTGGAAAAGTACAGAATTTGACTTAATTTTTTACTAAGCGTAAGTGGAGCTCGATGGCGCAAGTGGTTAGCGCGTTCGGCTGCGATCGTTGAAACTAAGCAACTTTCGCATTGGTCGGTCATTGGATGGGTGACAAAAAATTTACTATCTCGAGCTCCTCCGTGCTTCGGAAGACACGTTAAGCCGTTGGTCCCGGCTACATCTGCATTCGTTAGGGTGGGTCATAGTCCAATCTCCCTATTCCATCCATAGGGAAGGCCTGTGCCCCAGCAGTGGGGACATTAATAGGATGATGATGATGATAACTCTTACTAAGAAAAATATTGTTTTAACTTTACTTACCTAGAGTGAAAATTAAAAACACTGACAGTTAGCTATTGATCTCAGGAGACACTGTTGATCAGAGTTAAATCGATTATTATTTATATACTCCAAGACCACTTAGCAGTTCAACAGTTGCGGAAAATACACATTGTGACCGTCCATTGTTTCAGTCGTTACGTAAGATTAGCTTCAATGAGAACCCTTCGCAATATGCTAATTATGGGTTCTTTCGATAGGATTCTTCGCAACAGATATATAATTCATGGTCGCGTCTTATCACACGAAGCTCAGAAACTTTTTTTTTAAACCGGACATTATAATGTTAAACTCAGTAAATTCTCCTACGTTCTATACATGCTCGACAATGTGGTCCATATATCAAGCGTATATGCATATATATGTAAGCGTATATGCGTATATGCGAATGTAGCATCTACGTTACGGTATGGAGTGTCATTTTGGGGAAGTCAGTTGAGAAAGAGTTTGCATTTAAAGCAAAAAAAAATGTATAAGGGCTATTTGTAAAAGTAATCAAACTAACAGTTGTAAACAGCATTCTATATCATTTAAACTTTTTACATTGCCGTATGTTTACAAATATGAAATTGCTGTTTTTGTGAGAGCAAATTTACACTTATACCAGCTGACCCAGCGAACTTTGTACCGCCATAAAAATAGGGACTGGTGGTAGAAGGGTGAAAATTTAGGGTTGTATGTCTTTTTTAATGCTACATTATAAAAAATAAATAGTCCATAAAATAAATAAAAAATGTTAGGGGTGGACAACCCTTATCAATTGGGGATGTGAAAAATAGATAGTAGCCGATTCTCAGACCTAATATTATAAAAATCTAATACCTATACAATTTCATAAAAATCGGTCAAGCCATTTCAGAGGAGTATGGTAACTAACATTGTGACACGAGAATTTTATATACAAGATGTTACTTTGATGAAATGAAATGAATTATGAATAAAAGAGTAATCTGTATGACACCTCAAGTGTATAATAAAATACCACATGAAATTACAAAAGCTAAAAGCCCCAATATATTTTGTTCAAAATGAAAGAATATATTACTTAAAAAGGCGCATTTTAGTATTAAGGAATTTTTAAGAGGACAAATCTTTGTAAATTAATGGATGTACACATTTGTTTATTTTAATTTGCATTCCTTGTGGTGAAATATGGAATAAGCTTCTAATATATTATAATTTATAATTATATTCAAGGCAGCAAAGCAAATGTATATGGTATCGTTGTGGTCTTTGAGCAGCGCCATCATCTAGTGGAAAGTACAGCATCTTGTTTATCTGCGTGACGAAGCTTCGGGTGGCTTTGAGGCTAAAACGTGCTAAAATTTGCGTTCGAACTTTGAATTAAGTACGCTCCTTCAGTTGCACATACAAAATTATCGTTTTCCCCAACATATTATAGCGTATCAAATTATCACAAGTCAAGCTATTGTCTACACGCAGCTCGCTAATTCATTACGACAGAACTATTTCGATCGCTAACTCTAAAAACTCTACGCTAAAGATTTAGCGCATTTAATACCAAAATCACCCGAAGCTTCGTGGCGTAGGTGTGGGAGAAAAATGTTCTTTTTTTACATTAAAAAGGCTTACGCTTGACGGCCACGCGCCTGATGAGGAGCGACGTAGCAGCCTAAGGTGGGACGCGCTTGCCTAGAATAAACCGATTCACTCGCGACTTGAAGAGCCCCAGATTATAGGTGACTGGAAACAGAGATTCCGGCAAAGAGTTCCACAACCTAGCTGTTCTGACGATATAGGTGGAAGCAAACCGTTAAGTGCGAGTTTGCGGGACCTCTACGGTATATCTGTGGCGTTTTGCCGTCTCTCTGGTAGTTCTGTGGTAAAAAGGTGAAGGTGGAATTAGGTTATGTAACTCCGAAGCACACTCTCCGAAATGTAACCGGTAAAAAACCGATAAAGAGGCAACTTTTCACCTGTGTACAAGACTTTGAAGTCTAGTCTCAAATAATTTATCGTTGCCGATGAGCTTCTTTGCACGCCTCTCAATGCACTCCAGAGACACCAGATTATATTTTGCAGAACCAATCCAAAGGTACGAACAGTACTCCATGCACGAGCGAACTTGCGCACCTTTGCGAGGACGCCAAGCTTTTTTGCAGCCAGTTGAGCTCTGGGCTCAATGTAGGTACCGAAGTTGAGAGTTGAGGTGAGAGTTATTCCTAGAAGCTCGTTCGGTTACCGGCACGGTTACATCTCGGAAAGAGGGGACCAGTTGAAACGCTCTCTTTTTAGCGGAGAACAGACACGCCTGAGTCTTAGAAGCATTTAACTTGACCAAATTGGCATCACCCCAATCGAAGACTGTCTGAAGGGACAAGTTTATACGGTTGACCATGGCTTCTCGGAGTGATTGAACTTAGGCCGCACTGGCACGCTCATTCGATATATAGCTCTCTACGACTGTGCTTTCGTCTGAATACCCAAGGGTACCGGGTTTAAGCAGATCGTTCATATGGAGCAAAAAAGAGTTGCAGAGAGTACCGACCCTGGCGGAACTCCGGCAGTAACAGCCTTTCGATTTGATTGGCAGCCATCTATAACTACATAGACCGATCACGCAGGAAGTCCGATATCCAGGCGCATAGTCCAGTGGGCAAGCCGTACGAAGGAAGTTTGCTTATAAGGCCGTCATGCCAAACCATGTCGAAAGCCTTCGAGATATCGAGAGACACGGCCAGCGCTTCTCCGTGCTTCTCAATGGCTTCACTCTAAATGTGTGTAGTGTACACTAAAAGATCCCCGGTGGAGCGATTTCGGCGAAATCCGTATTGTCAATCACTGAGGAGGTCATTCGCGTCTAGGTACGCTAGGATCTTGTGGTTCAGAACACGTTCCATGCTCTTACAGAGTAATGAAGTGACTGATATTGGTCTGTTGTTCGCAGGGTCGGCATGACTACCGTTTTTGGGCACCGGTTGCACGTTAGCAAGCTTCCAGGATTTAAGCACTTGTCCAGTTTCCAAGGATAGCCGGAAGAGGCGTGTCAGAACAGGAGACAATTCAGGTGCACAGGTCTTCAGAACTGTTGCAGGAATACCGTCAGGGCCACTGCCTTTGTTCTCGTCGAGATTGCGTAGGACTTTACGCACCTCCGCTTGGCGAATGCGAATGTTCGACATCGCTGTCGAGCAGCCAAATGATGTGGTAGGTTCCGCGCTACCAGCTTCAAGACTCGAGGCTTCCGCAAATTGAGAGACAAATAGATTTGCTTACTCTTCAGCAGTGTGAGCTAGAGTCCCATCAGGCTTCTGCAATGGAGGCAGTGAGGGACGGCAGAATTTCGCCTCGACCGATTTTGCCAGGGACCAGAACGCTTTATTTCCTGTCGGATACGACGCAAGTTTGTTCCCATTCCGGCTAATATGTTCAAAGCGAGCCTTCTGTAACACCTTCTTGCAGGACTTGGCAGACCTGTTATACGCTTGTTTTTTGTTTGTTTTTGGCGTAAATCATTTGCTTTGCGGTGTCGAGCATCGGCCCAGGCCAGATAAGCCTCATGTTTTTGCGCTTCCGCACGAGCACACTGAGGTCCAAACCAGGAGCAAGCTTTGCCGGACAGAGGTAAATCCGAGTACGGGATAAAGTACTCCATACCCAGTGTGAGTACATCAGTCACAGCATCCGCGCAAATTGATGCGTCGTCAGAGGTGAAGTATACAGGTTGCCAAGTATAGTACGCAAAAAACGACCGCATTCCATCCCAATCAGCTGAATTGTGTCGCCAAATGTTGATTCTTGTTAGAAAAAATGATAATCGTATTTTAAAAAACTTCACAATGTAGGTATATGCTTTGAACCTCTGTGCCGGCGCGGCGATCGTTTCATAAAAAGAAATTATACTTACTTAATAGGATCCCGGCGCAGAATTCTGGAGCCTAGTTTACATATAGTCGGAGGCGAAATATGGTATTGTTTGATTACAAACTAAAACAATGTCAATTAAAACGTGAAATAGCTGTGAGAGACCTTGGTGTATTTCATGATTCGAAGCTTCTCTTTGATACGCATATTAATAAGGTGATCGCGAAAAGCTCTAAGGCCCTCGGGTTTATTATGCGCAACTCCAAAGACTTTAGACAAGCCAAGACACTAAAAATTTTATATTGTACCTTTGTTAGAAGTCATCTGGAGTATGCATCTCAGGTCTGGAACCCTAGATATTCTACCTATATATCTCGCATTGAAGGCATCCAGAGGAAATTTGTACGATATCTGTGCTTTCGTACAAAGGAGCTTTATCATTCAGGTCGGTACGGGGAACTCTGCAAAAAGCATCATCTTCTCCCTTTAGAGATGCGTCGCGAAATTGCGGATTTAGTTTTCCTCAGTAGGATCGCTTCTGGGGCTGTTGACTGCCCGGAACTCCTATCAAAGATCTTGTTTAGAGTTCCCCCCAAACCCCTTAGGATTGATCCTATTTTAAGTATACCCCCTACTTCTACAAATTATCGGCAGAATGCTTTTCTTTGTCGAGCGAGTAGCAGCTTCAACTCACTATCAAAGCAGGTAAATTTAGATCTTTTTAACACTAGCGAAGCGTCGATTAGACGTATCATTGCTCGTTTGTTTTTTGGAGATAAAAATTAATGTAATAATAACAAACATTTATTTCAGACTTTAAATTCATAGAAGTGTTAGTTATTAACATGTGCGTAATTCGTTATTCTGTTATTTATCATAAGGACCTCATTTATAAAACTATATTTAAGAGATTTTTTCTACATTAGACAGTGCAAATAGTTTCTTTATTCTTTTAAGTTATGTCTAGATGTGAGGACCTGTAATTGGCTCTTTGTCGCTACTATTCATTTCTAGTATATTAAGATAAGCTGTTGGTCTTCCATGTAACCAAAATAAATAAAATAAATAAATAAATAAAATAAATAAAAAAAAACCTTTTTTTAATGAAATTTTAATTTAAATGAATAATTAGTGGGTATACTAATAATTCATTGAAATTAAGTTTCATTAAAAAACAAATGGCTGCAGAATCGAGTGGCGGGATCTCGGGCTATAACACTCATTGTTTGATATTGTCGGTTCACGACTTTCTTTTGTTTTGAAATAGAGCTCGTGTTTC